TCATTGTAGAATAGTCCTAAAAGAAAAATTGAAAAAATTACTTGCACTTTGAAGGAAAAAACCTCCCACAACAAATTCAGGATAGGAATAAAAACAAATCATTTGAAAGTCACGCGCAATCTTCGCGAAAATTCCTCGTGGCTACTTGACAGGGGGGGGACGAATATTTTCACGAAACGTTGTTCCCACAGCAACCTAACTGGATATCTAGATATATTATATTTATTGCATTTTTATGATTGATAATAAAAATACGTAAATATTTAATGTTTTTAATTTTATTTTTAAATCATAAAATACAATAAATACAATATATTTAGTTGAAACTTGAATTGCTGTGGTGGCGAACAACGTTTCGTGAAAATATTCTCCCCCCCCCTGTCAAGGAATTTTCGCGAAGATTGCGCGTGACTTTCAAATGATTTGTTTTTATTCCTATCCTGAATTTGTTGTGGGAGGTTTTTTCCTTCAAAGTGCAAGTATTTTTTTCAATTTTTCTTTTAGGACTATTCTACAATGAAGTACTCTTGGATACTGTAATCTAAATACATATAAAGACGAAGAAGTGGCATTTATCGGGCAGAGAATCGGCGAGCCATTAAAATGGCGGCATATGGACGAAATATCGAAGGACACAATATCGAAGATAAAATACACTGCACTGCTCCAAAACTTGCCGAAACTTGGTTGAAATCTCATTTAGCCATTTGCCATTATGTAAAAGTACAACAACTGGATGTTATTTGCGAGACACGGCGATATAAAGCAAACAAGACGGCAAAATATGGCTGAAATCGTGTTTTCGTGGGGGGTAAGTGAAATAAAATATATTATATTTATAAAAAACAGTGACTATCCTTATGAAAACTACAATAATTATATTAAATTAAGCATAGTTTTTCATCCCATGGTAATTTTTTTTAGGAAATAAGGATATTTAATTTCTGCCATGTATATTAGTTATTTTCTGCATAATCAGCAATTTACCTGGGGTGATAAATGGTCATTTTCTTGTAAAATATTATACTTCCACAAATTTTTCCTTCCAATAACCACCCCTAAAAGTAACCCTTCTAAACACTATAAGCACTTCAGAAAGGCTGTCGCTTTTGCTTTTCGGAAGTTAGAGCTATGTCGGCACTGCCGTTTCAGGGCGGGGTCATTTTCAGGACTTTCGTCCAGGATTCAGGTTTTGGCACATATGCCATGTTGACCGCCATGGTCATTTTACCCTAAAACAGTTGAGATTACCTGTGGTAAATGAAATGCATACAAACTCATATACAGGTCCTAGACTAAAGAGTAAGAAAGCACATTCTTCACTGCTTTAATCCCCAAAAAAAAAAAACAATAAACCTTACAAAAATAGAACAAATACCATTCAGCCAATCACAGCCAACCTTCTTGGAGCTGCTACATGACCCGAAAATTCCAAATGAGTTACGAAGTCAAAAGAGGAACGCTTCACGTAGTTTACCTGTAACACAGCTCTTGTGGTTCGACCCCTGTGGATTCGCGCGTGGTCACTATATAAACTGTATATTGTGTGTTAATTAACAACCACGTGTGTATATTCATTAGCAACTAGTGATGGGCGATACCAGGATTTTTAATTCGATACCGATACCGATACTTTTAAGATCGGTATCGGCCGATACCGATACCTATTTCGATACCAAAATGAACACAAAATTTCAATTTTCGATACCGGAAGTGAGTACTTAAATTGCTAGTATCGGCTACTTTCGATACCTACCGGTCAGCGGAAAAAAATTTTTCATTACTGTATGTAACCTAAATAAAGCTATATGTAAACCAAAAGTCCGAAACGTAATAAATATTTTCTATACATGACTTGGCGCACCACATTTGGAATATTAAGAGTTATTTTAGTGGTTCATTAAGTCTTATTCAACCAAGAAGTGAAATTAAACAAGTCGTTAAAAAAGGGTGCAAGTATCGAACGATACCACGTCAGTAATCGATACCGATACCGCTGTTTGTGGTATCGCTGGTATCATAGTTAATATAGAAGACCAGCTGGTATCGAATACCGAGTACTCGGTATCGCCCATCACTATTAGCAACCTCGTGTGTACTTGAATGCTGAAGAGGTCATGTACTTTTAGTCAAGATCTTTGTGAGTGCATATTATATTTTTCGTTTTAAACGAGGAAGTTGGTGTTATATTGCATACTTTTTCTTGGACGTTTATAAAATACAGTAAGTAAACTTATTTTATCGTTTCTTGTGTTTAAAAGCGTCGCTGGTCGTGGTAGTGCATTTTTGCGCCTCGGTGTAAATGTACCAATTATGTACCTTCCAACTTACTACTAAAATTTTGATATTTTTCATCAATGCATTTGAATATTGTACACGTATTTGTTTCCTTATCACGTGTTCACTTACTTTAGCAAAGTTTGTAGTTCGAAAAATGTTATTTTTTAGCGTAAAATTCAGAAAGTAACGGCCCCGGTTTACTTTCGGTTTCATACAATCGTCACTGACATGCCTCACCGAGCCAGACAGAGCAAGGATTTGGCTTTGGAGGAAATTAATTTCCTGCCCAAAAAGATCTAGTGATTATGGAAATCTGCATTGTAAAAAACTGCAAATAATTTCTGAAGAATTTCCTTCGAAGACTTTCTGAGGAATTTGAAGATCAATATTGACCATGCATGGCTTTATTTTTTAATCAATGTATATAAAATAACTTGCTAAAACAGCTTCTGTCTCGCCGCCTTTCTATGCTGTGAGTATTTGCTTGTATATTTACCAAATACAAAAATTGCAGACATCATTTAAAAGAGTGAGCAAGCTGTACCCACAAATATAAAGATTAGAATTATAGCAAGTTTTTGTTTGCTAGACGGCCATCTTGAGTCATGCATTGAATCGAAAATTGCTTGGAGTGGTGGTTGCATTACAATGAGAGCCTTGCAAAAACCAATTCGACACACCGCTCACCACTTTGAAGAGTGCGAACTGCTGCACCACCAGTTTGTTGCAGAAATTGAGACGATAACTGCAACATATTTCATATGTAAACAGAAGCCCTATCTGGTATGGTTTTGGCGTCGGATGCAAAGTGTCTGATATAATGTAAACATGGCCTTAATTTGCTGACCATCTGCAGAGCTGCATGCATTTAAGGGAGCCCATCCGGTTATATTGAAGTTATGTAATAGCATTACATATGAAATATATAGCTCAGTGTTGAAGCCTGCCATTTGCAGGCTAACATGCGCTTTAAACATAGATATAATAATGGCTAATTGAATGTGCACACAGCCTGCAAATTGCAGGCTTCAACACTGAGCTATGTATTTCATATGTAAGGCCAATGAAAATTGATATCATGTTTCTCGTCCACAATTTTCAAAAATTTGGAGCGGGATTTTTTCATTTTTCATTATTTTTTTTTATTTGAATTCTGCTTGTCAATAATTTCCTTGACCCAGTAAAAACCCCATAAAAATCTGAAGTATTAAAAATTGGTGTATAATTCATTTTAATTTAATACGCCCTACACAACAGTCTACAGACTACGTACAGTATATTTCTACACATACCAGGGCTGACATGAAAAATAGAGGCATCCTGGCAAGTAATATCTTTATAAAAATACAATTTGAGTTGCGCTTGCGGAATGCAGCAATAAGACTTTGATCTGGAGATGAATTTGGTGTTTTTTAAGCCTATTTTTCAAAAATAATGAATAATGAAAAATTTTCGTGCGGCCGATAAATCCCATGCGGGCGGCGACGAGAAACATGATATCAATTTTTATTGGCCTAATGCTAATCCATAACTTTAATAAGACCAGTGGGATGGGCGCCCTCTTTGCCAGTGTGCTGCATGCGGGTGTGGATCATTTCACAGGATAGACATGCATGGGTATTCTAGCTGTGGTCATAGTTACATTTGTGAAACTCAATAATTGATGAAGAAAACACAAAAGAAATTATGAGCGTGAAGGAGTTTGTATATCTGATACAGTATCATGCTGATTTACATAAACTTTAAGTTTAATTTTCTCACCAAATATCATTCATTTATTTTAAATTGTTGAAGAGTACAAATTAATGTTCTAATCGAGACGTTTTGCAAGCTATATATTATAAAGCATCCGCGTCTGTGTTGTATCAGACATTCAACCTAATAGAGCTCTCACCTTTGACTTAAGTTTGTATATCTGATACAACACTAGTTCCACTCAATTGCATTATCTATTACTTAGAAAACTATCTGCAGAAACTCTAATTTAATGCAATGTACATTGAAAATCGTCAGTCTGTAGGCTATTAAGCAGCCAATCAAAACACAGATTGTATTCGTAATTAATGCATAATAAAAATATTATTCAGTGTAATTTAGCTGTTAAAACATATATTTTAAACTTCTAAAATTTCATTCTCTAGTTAGCAATGACTAGCTTTGCATATGCCACAACAACAACTCCCACTAGGTGAGTGTCAGAGTCCAGTTTACCTAGCTGTTTTAGTTAGTGTACCCCAATGCACCTGCTTAATGACAGGTGATTTTGAGAGAGAAAGAATTGTATGTATAAAGAGAAAGAATATTGTATGTATTAAATGATAAATAATGGTACACCCAGGGATCGGGTGCTAGAAGGTGGGTGTGGGAAGGTTGTCAGGTATATGCTTGGCAAATTATTGTACATCTGGGCAGTGAGTCGGCAAATTGTTTCCTTAAGTTGGTAAAACATGAATATAGGATAGGAAGGGTAATTAACACTAAAAATTATTGGAGTGAAACTGATTTATTAAAAACTAATAATTATATATTAATTAAGCTCAAATTAGGGGAAATTATGGAAACATTGCCTAATTACAAATGTCAACCCACAAGATGAAGAATGTCCAGAAAATTTTTTATGTTTGGGTGCAAAAACCCCCCCCCCCCCCAGCAAGAATTTTTGAAATAGAAATGGTAATTAGGAAAACGGCAGGTACAAAACACAGGTTGGAATTTTGCAGGTTGCCAGGAACTTTGCAGGTTGATAATGCAAACTTAAAATTACACCCCTTTTTTAGTATTCTAGTACAACTTAGTTGTGCGTTTAATTATTGCAGTCTGACTCCTTGTCGGCGCTTTTGATATCAGCCTATATACCCTGCTGCCATGTTCCTTAGCCTCTGCTCTAAGGCTAGTGGCCATCACCCCTGTAAAAACATTCAAAATGACCAGATTGCATGGCTAATGGACCTAAAAGGAGACGAATGTTTTGATTGTTGCGAGGTGCCTACATGACATGGCAGCGTTTATACTAGAATGTTGTTAAAAAGTTAACTAACTCTTGAGTAATGATACGGTAATTGCGCATGGGGGCTTGAGTGGACTTCTCATAAGTGAGTGCAGAGGAGAGACACCTCATTCAGGCATTTTCTCAACTGCCCTGCACCACATCATGTAAGCTCCTCGCAACAATCGAAACATCAGTCCACCTGAAGGTCCAAGCCAATCTGGTCATTTTGAATGTTTTCACAAGGGTATGGCCACTCCTTAGAGCAGAAGCTAGCAACATTGTAGCAGGATAGGCTGATATCAAAAGCGCCAACAAGGAGTCAGACTGCAATAAGTACACAATTAAATTATACTAGAATACTTTATAGAGGTGTAATTAAGTTTGCATCATCAACTTGCAAAATTCCTGGCAACCTGCAAAATTCCAACCTGCAAAATCCCCAACCTGCAAAATTCTCAACCTGCGAAATTCCAACCTGCAACCTGCGTTTTGTACCTGCCGATTAGGAAAACTATTTTTCAAATAGGGCTATATAGTGTTGCCCCTCAGGTTAACCTGATTGTTTTAAATTCTCACAGTCTCTGTCTTATGTCTGTTTTGTTCCCATGAAGCCTGCATGTGTCTTAAATATAATCACAATTTTGACAGAGGTGCATGCATGAAACCATGCACATGTAATACCTCCTTTATATCTCACTGCATTTGTCCTAGCTTCCTTCCAGCAGCCAAACATGTTTATTACTGTGACTGCATGATTACTGTGACTGATTACGGTGACTGCATGACTACATTAAGTATTATGTTTGCTTAATATTACCAAAACTAACCTAGATTAATATTTATCTTTACAACAACATGCAACTAATTGTTTATCCTAAATACCCTGCACCTTGTCATATATGCAACTTAAATACCCTGTGAGAGGCAATCGGAGTGCCCAGAGAAAACCCATGACTTTTGGCAGAGTGTTGAATGCATGTATATAGACTCGATCTTCACATGCAAAGCCTGTAGTGATCGAACTGTGTGAACTCACTCTGTGCTTGCTGCTGCACAACCAGAAGCCCCAATAATTAATGCCCATATTCACTGAGCACTTTGGACATAAATGGGTTAAATTTAAGTTCCAATTTTTACAAAATTAGGACTTAATTATTAATATGTTTCTATTCATTTTCAGTGCAGCAACGTGTGATGTACTGGATACGGCTTATTATGCTTCCCTGTTTTTCGCAGCTGCCGTACGTTTACAGTTACATTTTAATTTCTTTTATACTTAATGTGTATTTATTTAGTGATCCAGTTAATTATTAGACTAAATTAATAGCTATATATGGGGCCTAAAAAAATGCCCGTGGTTCCTGTTCCCGACCAACCCTATTTTTTCTGCCAACCCTATTTTTTTCTGCCGACCCTATTATTTTTTTAACACAATCGACCATGTGACCCTATTTTCTCCTGAGGTGGTTGCGGGCTGCTGCCAAAATGGCGTCTGTTGTCACACTAATTATTGAAAAAAGGTCTTGAAAAAACCTTGAAAAAATATTAAAAAAAGAAAATTATTTCCGACATGTGGTTCCGATATGAAACCGGAACCACAGGTATTTTTTTAGTAATGATGAGTAAAATCATCTGGCATTAGACAGAGCAAAATATAAAGAGAGGTGCACCTGAGCGCATTAAATTGCCACTTAAAAGCCTTAGGTTAACTTTTTCAAAAAAAGATATGTCAATTAACTATGTGAACCAATCGGAATTTTGCATTGTGCATGTGGATAACGCGTATTTTGGCTGTTGTTTGCAGCCCCTCCTTTCCTTTAAAGGAGGGATCGACTGCTTGCAGTCTAACCCATGTCAATTTAATCTCTATTTCTAAACAAGCCACTGACTGGCCTCAAAAAGAAATTTTTCCAACCGTGGTGTTAGGAGAAGTCACCATGAAGGGCTTGAAAAAAGTGAACTCCCAATTAGTTCCCTATCATGCATCATGGTGGTCAATAAAAAGACTTCCCTTGCTTTTTCTGATTGAAAACCCTGCTTTCTGCCAATCATAAACAATTTCTTGCCGATCCTTGATTGGTGATTGGCTGTTATTTCAAGTCCTATTAGTCACCCCCACTGCTCATTTCTCATGGTTCCAGTGGGACAAGTATTGAATACCATTGAATGACATATGCCAAAATTGGAAATCACTCTAATTACCAATTGTTTCAGCTGCTTAATTGCCTGGAGAATATATGCTCTATTCTAAATGAGCTTTCTCAGGCCCTATGGTGATTGATGTACTTGGGGCCATTAGTCCAATTTTATTGTTATAACTATAATGTATGTATAAATGTTCCATTCCAGGTGCTAATTATTACGGCATTGGCATTTTTACGGAAGAGAAGAAGTTTTAAGAAAGACGTTTGGGGAGGCAGACCTGGGATCGTTGTGTGAGTTCATACAAAGATGTCTATAATTTATCCATGCCCCTTCATCGATCTCGATCTCGCTGTTTGTTAATTAAGAATGTAACAGTGGTCATCCTAAGGCCTCCCATTTTCCAAGTTGTAAAATGGGTATAGTTCTAAAAGTTAAAATGGGCAGTTCTAAAATTAGTTATAAATTAAGCGCCTATATACAGATATTTCGGGCAAAAACAAAACCAACTATCACTCTGAAAACGTAATATTAAATGGCCATTCTGAACTTCTAAAATTCAAAATTTTTCCAGGACCTCTCATTAATGCCACACTGTTATATAGCTTGTGTTCACTACCTCGATCACAGTCTTTTCTTGTTGCAAGGACAGTTCTAAATTTTTCTTAGGATGACCCCTGAAATGCAAGTAATATAAGATGCATTAGTTGGGCATGGGATGGGGGAGGGAGTTTGCTATGGTGCATTTATAATAACACGCATTGATTCGGTCTTCGGAATATTAATGCAGGTGATGATAAATGGTCAGTGATGTATAGGTAAGCCAGTCGGGCAGTGGCGCCGCCAGCTGGATAATTGGGGGGGGGGGGATGAATAGTCATATATTTGTGTTCACATAAAAAACAATCGATTTCAAAAGAAGTTAATAATGCAGAACACGAAGATATGAATCATGGTGTTCTTCTTGAAAAGTGACAGGTATATGGAATAAAGGGACATGAGTTGCTCTGGTTTACTGATTACAGTACCTATTCTGTCGTCAACAATTTGTCCGTATCGGCGCAAATTCGTCACCTTACGAACCGGCTTTTAGCGGAGTACCACAAGGATCTATCTTAGGGCCCCTTCTTTTTACTGTGTCAGTATAATGATCTGGCTGACCACCTAGTTAACTCCCGAGTTATAAAATACGCGGATGATACTGTTGTATATTTCTCAAGAAAGGATGTGGAGGCAATAGAGGGGGCACTTGCTCAGGATTTGGAAGAAATTGCACGGTTTTTTTATAAAATTAAACGAGTTGGTGATAAATCTTAAGAAAGGAAAAACCGAGATCATGCTATTTGGCACAGGGAAGAGACTTTCATTACAACCACGCAATTTGGAAGCAAAATATAGAGGAGATTTTATTAATTTCACTACGTCATACAAGTATCTTGGATATTACTCTTGATTCCTGTTTAGTTCTTAGTGAAAATTTTAATATCGCGTATAAGAAAGCCAGTAACCGTGTGAGGTTACTATCGGCCGGCAAACTGCGTGTATATGTAACACCCAAAGCCGCATTTAAAATCTATGAAATGATGATTCTTCCGATAATAACCTACAGTACGTCAATTAAACCTACGTTGCATGACAATAACTCAACTTGCTAAACTTAGCTCTATAGAAAATCGAATTAATGAAATCGTTGGACGGGAAAAACTTAACATATTCCTCGGTTGGTGAAACAAGTACAAAAGAAGGCATGTCTAACTGTAAGAAAGTGTTTGGATAATGATGTATGCTGTAATTTCAGGGGTATTTTGAGACAATATCAACGTACCAGGAATAATTCTAAGCTGGTTAAATTACCTAAAGTCAAATTGGAATACGCTAGACAATCTTTTAGATATGTTGCCGCAAAGATATATAATGATCTACCGATCTCAATGAGAGCTGAAGGGAATTTTAAAGTTTTTAAGAAGTCATTGGACTCTTATTATATTTGATCTATTATGTGAATGTACTTTCTGAACATTATTCCTAGTAGTTCAACTTAGTTACATTATGTACAATCTCATTAACTTTTAATAGTTTTTATACCTTACTCCCTAGCATAAGCATAGTAGTTTTATAGTAGGATAAGAGGACACATATTGATAGCAGTATGTTCATACTGAAATATCTATCCTCTGTAAATATTTCTTAATAATAATAATAATATTTGCCCTCCCCCCCCCCCAATTATCGAGCTGGCGGCGCCACTGCAGTCAGGCCAATCATAGTTAATAGAGGAGATGGACTAGATGGTTTGGAAACTCGTTAGCATTACAATAAAATCACAATAAACCTCATTATCTATGTTGTTCAGGTTTATGCAAAAATGTGGTCTTTCATCGTCACGTGCGTATTGTATTTTTCTCAAGTCAACCAATAGGAATGTTCAAAATGTCCTATTGTTAAAGTCATGGATGGGCAATTGGACAAAACCGTTGCTATTGGCTGGTTGAGCAAAAATACAATACGCACGTGACGATGAAAGACCACATTTTTGCATAAACCTGAACAAAAACATAGATAGTGAGGTTTATTGTAATATTAATAAGTTTCCAAACCATCTCTATTAACTATGGGCCAATACAAGGGCAAACTTATTGGAAATCAATAGACTTTATAGAGACCTCTATAGAGATTCGCAAAATAACAAGTCTTAAGATTCTATATGGCAGTTGAAAAGTTTCTCAATTATAGGCAGACCATGCATTTTTTCTTAGGCTATTTTCTTAAGCCCTGGGCAAACTAGGAAACATTGTTGCGGAAACATTTGTGATTCTCGATGTTTCCTCAAATGTTTCCACGTTTGTCCACCGGTGGAAACATTGTTGCGGAAACAAAATTTGCTTCCCGGCAAGCAAAAATGTTTCCTACCGAATTCAGAAACATTTGATGTTCATCCCTGTGTTTCTCACTAATGTTTCCTAGTGTTTGCCCACTCTGGGAAACATGGCGAAACTTCAACATTGGTAGAAAACATGGCGAAACATTGCTTTAGGCTACTTAACTCCTTAACCCATTGTTGTTGCATGGTATGAGTGCCAGCACTTTCCCCTTGACGGGTAAATGGTCTGGCATTAGACGTACATAGTAAAATAACAAAGTTAGGACACATTAGAATGAAGTGCATGTTTAAGAAGACCTAACCAGGAGCAACTGCGAAAAATGCAACTCTAGGCCCTCTGGCCGAATCGAACTTGCGGCCCTGCGAATCGCTGATCACGGTACAGCGCTCTATAACCAACTGGAGAGTCTAGTTGAGCTCTAACCCCAAGTTCATGGATAAATGGAGCATTTGCCCTATAGACTAAATTTTGGTCTAGACAAAAATTTCATCACAGCTTGAAAGAGCATCACAAAATTGGTAATATTCCGAAGTTCCACCCTGTGTAGGCCTATAGATTGCCTTGGTATTGATAATGACCGTTTGGCCATCATGTGTGTATTTGGGGCTGCCGCTGGATCAATCCTTAATCTGATTCTTCGCAATGGCATGGTTGAGGGAAGTAACGCTTGGGAAACTGGTATGAATGCTTTTCTTACTTTCATGTATTAGACTATACTTATTGCCAGGCCTAAAAAACAATGTAATAGAATCACCAAAATGGTCTCGGCTCCCAGTTCCGGCTGTAATTGCATGTAATGCGCACTTGATCATATATACATATGTAAAATCGCGCAATAGGAATACTAAATATCTAAAATATCGAAAAAGTGGTGGGGTCATGGCCTCCTTCCTCCCCTTCCAGCTACGCGGTCTCATTAGTTGATTTTGTGTGTGAGAGTAACTCGCTTTGTGTTTGACCACAAAGTTTAAGTTTAAACAAGTTTGATTATAAGCTCGACGATTGATACGGTCATGAGAAATAAGTTGCATGACAGTTAAAAGAAAACTGTTGTGCAAACTATATAACCATGCTGTTAACTCTTTGCAAGCTTAACTTGTTTTCGCTTGGCGAAGCCATTAGAGTAGAAAAAGCTATTTTCCTTTGCCAACTTTCTTTGCCTCTTAATCTTAGCTGATGCAGCTTTATTAAAGCATTTAATTTTTCGTCTAGCATTTCGTCGCATTGCGACTGCTCTCGGAGTTGCTTTCATTTATTATCCCTACTTTGGATGTTTGGCTTCATATCACAGAATTTTTGGAGCGTTGGTGGGGCTTCCTTACGCTCTTGCCTAGTAAGTAGTTTTGAATTTGATATGCACGCGTAAAAACGCTCAGGTTGATGCAATACTGATGAAAACAGGATTGAACAATGCTTTGCTGCTGCCCACATTGTTCGTAGCTGTCAACAATATTGAACAATACTGTTACACCCGATTCAGGCTCAACAATATTGTTCAATATTATTGACAAGTGTGAACAACGTGGGCAGCAAAACATTGTTCAGTCCTGTTGAGCAACGGGCTCGGCGTTTTTTGCCGTGTAGTAATACTGATGAGCTTTTATACTAAATATAAAAGCGATCATGTGACCTAAAATAAACCAATAAGATGAATTTAGTCAAAACAAAGTATAAAAAAACCCGTATAACTGATCAAGCTCTTTCCATAACATGAGCCGCACTACACATAGTTCATCGGAATATTCCATTGTCTTTAGTTTCACTGTTTTTAAAATTCCAATGTTTTCCACGCCATCGAGTCACTCATTTTGCTTAAATAAGTTTTCTGCAAACATCCTTTTATGATACTTATTATTGTAATTATTTTGTGTTCTTATTGCAGTTTTTCTTTCACATTGGCGGTTGCTCTTCAAAACTGTAATGTAAGTTTATTTAAGGCATTGTCTCGTAATATATACATGTCTTTCCCCACTTTTGCTTCTGCGTCAGGGTTCAGTGTGGGTGCTGATGATCTTTCTTAGTTTGCAACTTGGTAAGGTAATTAATCTAAGCAACGCCAAGTTTTTCTGTTGCTTACGCCTGTATTTCAAAAGATCACTCGCACTCAAAGAATGGAGGTTTAATCTGAGCTTCCCTTGAGTGTCAGTGCTGTTTTTGAATAGCTGGAGGGTTAGTGTCGTAACTTACTATGTGACTACTCATGCGAGTGAGCTTTTAGAATACAGGCGTTAGACCCTAAAGGCCGCTTTCCAGGTACGCGTTTTCCATACGTGCATACACGTACGGATAAAGTTTTTAAAAATCATTTATTATATACATGACAAAATCGCTACAATCCCTATGGTTAAGAGGAGTGAAATTATTTCATTAATAGACCTTATGCATAATGACGTCACAAGGCTTGATGCCCGCGAGGAATGCTGGTCTTAATAGTCATCGCCCGAGAAAATTTGGATAGTGGCCATTTTGAATTGTTTAATTTTCACGGGCGATGACTACTAAGACCAGCATTCCACGCAGGCACCAAGCCTTGTGACGTCATTATGCATCCTTATGCAATTCCAGTCCTCGCACGAACCTCCTCGCTGCGAGTGCATGCATGAGCACTTTCATCCAATCACAATGCTTAGGAGTTAATTTTAATTAGATGCAAGCACTCGCAGCGAGCTTGGAGGAGCTTCGTGCGAGGACTGGGATTACGCCTTAAGGTAATTCCGTAGTAATTGTTCCCGAAATGAGAATGTGCTGAAACTTCCCAGGCATGGAATTTATGATATACTTAAAGTAAAATCGCACGAAAAAGTCGGGGTCACCGAACTCGTTAAGAAGATATGAGAATCACAAAATACCACCTTTTCCCCAATGTGGCGCCATCTTGACGCTCATTACGAATAACAGCAAAATCACAACAGCCCGATTTTCATTGACGTTTTTAGCGCGGATTTTGCTTTAGTAAACCTATCTTGTAATTATTTTTGAAAAATATTGTGTTTTGAGCAAAATGAAACTACTAACGTGTACAATTCTGATCCATAAATGTCTTTTCCACATTTCTTTACATATCTTTCTTTGAGAACATGCATTGATAAAGGATTTTTTTTCAAGATCCAGAAATGATTTTTCTTTTAATTTCGGATATGAAATGTAAAATGTATTAAAGAAATAGATTATCAGTTAAAAAACGGGGTTCACCGATCTTTTTAGGGAATTGTGGCATTAAAACGTGAAATACAAGTAAATATATATACTACAGACGCAGGAACCCTAGCTACACTTTTGTATGCCTTTTTTGAAAACATTGCTTTTAACGTAATTCTTTGCACTAATGTAACCAAAGATGTTTTGAAGTAACGTAAAATTGTCATAAAATGATTTTTTTAAACGGTACGTATAATGGATGAAGTTATAAGATGTGCGCAGTAAAAGTGCGCAATGCAAAACTGCGGAGTTACCTTAAGGTTTATTGCACTCACCGAGGAGTGCAATTAATGATTTAAAAAAAAATGGCGGTCATCAATCATCATACAGGTGCACTTTTATGTATGACGTATATCATCATACAGACATATTGATAACCTGTCCATCACCCCCACTCCCCATCTAACCCCTCACCCTGATGGCGGGGTGGAACAAAAACTCCAGAGTTTGAACAGTTCTTTTTGACAGCCTGTATTTTAATTTATTAATCATTAGAAACTTACGACATTGGGAGAATATGTTTTGGAGATATTACCAATTATACCGACGATATTATGTCACCTGTTTATACTGGGCAAGTTTATACTTGTACTTTATAAGGAAATCAAGGAATATGGAATATGCGGAATGCAGTTATTTTCTCATAACGTCGTAAGTAATGTTTTCCCACTGACTTTCGTTTGCCTGAACATTTCCTGCAATGCCCACTCTATTTTTTAAAAATCTCTGTGCATGCTCAAAACCATGTAACACGCGATTGTGCATTTGCTATTCATAAGTGAAATCAGTGGCGGCCATACTGGCGGTAAAGTTTCCGGCTTATGACGTAGCACTGGTGTGACGCGCATGCAAGGGGGGAAAAGTTAAAACACTTACTTTAAAATGCATTTTACAACTTGAAAAGTTGCTGCCACGACAGAAAGTTTTTCCCGCTAAGCGGGAAAGTTGTGGCTTTGTTGTGTTCATATGGGAAAAACGTCCCGGTCACCGAGATCTCGCCTGCAACAAGCGAGATCTCGGACCATAGACGGATTTTCATATTTATTGCTGGGGTGGAGCCAGAAATTTTAGGGCGGTGAGCCGTGGGCAGGTGACTGAAGCAACACAAAGTGTCACCAAACCCCAGTAAGGTCTATATTCTAGGGGTGGAGCACTATACCGCTAGGGGGAGTCTAGAGAGCAGAAAACAATGTACCCCAGGAAACATTTGAAAAAAATCATGATTTCTAGCTTCGAAAGAAAGTTTTTTGAAGTTGTCAATTTGTCATATCAATGGTTTGGCATGTCCGATTGTCTGTTGAGACTTGAGAGAGTTAAAGACTTAAAGTTAAATAAACCTGTAAAGTGTAAACCCAATAGATGAACAGGCCAATAGTCAATACACAATATGCTTTTACTTTTATAAAGTCATTGACATTGTGTTGTTTGAATCCGAGTACAATTTATGATGCAACTCGGATGTAAATAATATCTGGGGCGTAAAGATTAAATCTAGGCAAGTCTATTTCCTAAAAGAATTAAAAACTAAAAATAGTGTTCGTAAAAATTCCAAACGTTCCTTGCGTGCAAGCTATTCGCATGACAAGGCACTGCAAACTCTATTCAGGGAAGATAATAGAGTTTCAAAACTTTACAATTGCTCCAATAAACCAAGTGAATGCAAGCGAGGAGCGATTAGTTTCAGAGTGTTGCACTGTCTTTTTCTGTTCGAGTGTACTCCTACGTTTATTTTGTATCATCAACACTCTGCACGTTGGAATGGACTATTTAATTATTTATTTATTATGCCGAGTATTAGTTGGAAAATTTTTGAGGGGTGGACATTTTGTTTGGGGGGGGGGGGTTATAGCTAATATTGGGGTGGTAGCACTTCCCTGCACCCCCCAGAAAATCCGTCCATGTCTCGGACGTTTCGTCAAAGAGTAAAGATTTCATATTATTAAAAGTTTCATATTTTCATAACAAGGCGAGATCTCGCATGTAAACTTGTCGAAATGTTTTTTCGCTAACCGGGATAACTTTTTCCCATATGAACAGGCCCTTAGATAGGAACTAGGAAGAGACATTCGCTTGATAGCAGTACTAATTTAGACACTTGCAAAGAATTTGATAGATTTAAAAATATTTTCTCATCATAATATTGGATAGAAACTTTGCATATGTTTCGCTCGCTTTCCTGGGCTAAACATGACTAAATGCATATTTAGTGCAGGCATAATTTATGCATGAATAATTTACTCAATTTGCCTCTAGTTTTTAACCTCTGCTAACATGAACATGAATTCATATCACATATAATGTCCATTTAGGATGAACATGCTTCTCAGCAGGTGAAATTGGTCAGACCTTGGTTGCGAAATTACGTGCATGACCTCATTAAGTCAAGGTAAGAGCATGGGTAATAAAATGACTGAAAACGAAACATAAACAACACGTACGAGTGGTATTATTTGTGCGCGGATTGGTGAAACCAGGTGATGCAGGGTGTGATAATTCAAGTTTTTTTTTTCCGTACTACACTGGGCCTGGGACTTCCGAAGGGTGGCGGAATCTTCAGAGCAAACACCTTTCATTAACTTATGCGATCGTTGGTTCGATTCTTGCTACGGACTAACGACATTCATGTGAAAAGACGGTCTACCTCTACGACGCTCTACCGAAAATCGTGGGTTTTTTCTGGGTACTCTGTTTCCTCCCGCAGAGAATGTCAACAGAGTGGATTGGGACCCTTTCACCGTAGCTGTCCTTCGTGATCAAATATGAGTCAGAAGCCGTCAGGTGGCAGCCAGAGGCGCCCTTAGAAAGCCTTCGACTCGATCAAGTTGACTTGCGTCCTTCGCAATTCAACTTAGCTCTCAGTTGCAAGTAAGAATGATTAGCATACCCCCACTTATTACACTGACCTGAAAGATCAAGTGTCTTAAATCCCTAATTATCTGTTTTCTGTTTTCTTTGTCGTAGAGAAATCGAGTTTGCGTTAGCGCATCGCAGGCTCAGTTTCGAATGTTCCAGTCGTTCCAGTTTATTATACATATCCGTTTTCAAGATGGCGGCCGTTCGATGAGTGACTATTTCAGTCTCAAACAATTTCTTCCATTGTCCACGGATTTTACCGCGTTTTTCTATGGATTTTCGATTTATCCAACATTGCACTTTCTTAGAAGTTGACTTGGTGTTTTTTTTTTCTCGTGCAACGTCTGTGGAAATGCGATATCTGGATCGTTGAGTTTTTCGAATTTTATAGGTAGTAACGTTTATTAATACAGACTCACGGAATGTAAACAATGTTGTCTGCTTTAGCGCATAGCATGCCCAGAGACCATGTGCATTTATGGATAACGTTTGTATTTTGTAGCAGTACTTGTGTTTCATTGAACATTACGAAAACATCTCCTCAGGATCACGCCACGCTTTCAGAAAGCCTTTCATTCGTTTGCGGTTCACGATTTGTATTCCTTGTCTATTGCACGACCTTGCACCATATAGCACGTATGTTGCCATTTTCAGGTCAGTGTGAAGGCCTGAGCAGGCGTCTTGTTGTTATTCAATTATTATTGCCACTCAACTGGCGACAATCGTCATTAACATTCGGCAAAACCTGAAATCGTCCCGATTAATCGCAGCGTGTAAACGTACATTTAAGTACTCGAATTATCGCATGCCGACGTAGGCAACCTAAAAGTTTGTTTTGCTTAAATTTTGAATTCGTTAACTTCGCCAGGGATGATAAAACACTCCTATGCACTTACGCAATATTTATAATGAGTATTACAATGAATAACAATCACAGTGGTTACAATGAATAACTTGGTAGTGTCACCGCAACTTTTAGTTACCGGTTACTACTAATCCGGTTGCTACTAATCAAATATTTCGCCACATTTGTATAGACCTGCCCGCCGTTATTCAAGAATAGAGTTCTACCTGAGGAAAATTTACAATCCCGAGAAAAGTAAGTGCTTCAGATCCAGAATTCGAAATACAGTATCAGGCTGGTACGATGGTTTGTAATTCGAACGTCTAAACTATACGTACTATTTAAAACACGAGCAGGAATGCTTTATCGGAAAAAGAATACGAGGCAGCCGAGTGTTTTATAGCTGATAAAGCACGGACGGAAAAACTCACTCGTGCATGTTTTTTTCCAAATTTCACTCGAAACCATACGTTTACAATAGTGTCTGCTTAGGTCTATTAATGTTTATTTTTTTGTGTGTATTTTCAAACGACAAGCGTTTTGGGCACGGCACCCCTGAAAATGGGCACCGCTTGCTAGACGTGCCGAGACTAGCTCGTGAGAAAGTCTCGGCTCGTTTAAATTTTGCGGCACCGGTGCCGATTTTTGTCACGTTTACACGCCAAAAGGTAGAGTTGCCGTACCTCAAATTTTGGGCACGGGTGCCCATTTTTAGGTGTGCCGTTGCCCAAAACACTGGTCGTGTAAACCGGCCTTATATGCCGTTCATTAGACCCTTCCAAAGTTAACGACGCCATAATGAAACATGGGGTGCAAATACAATAGTGCATGGGGTGCAAATACAATGGTGAAAACAATGGGATTCAAGATGGCGTCGGAAACCTTGAATCCCCCTATACTATATTATAGGTCAAAATTGGCAAAAAAAATGTTCATCGTGATCAGGTGGCCGGATAAAGCTTTTATATGGAAAATGACTGAGGTCCCACAGTGTGATCCCACCATGGATAATAAAATAAATGGATAGGACTCTCGCCGACGTAAGCAAAACAACCTAGTTGCAATCTGTGACGTCACGCGTATTGCAAAGTTCTCTGCATTTTTGTTGTTTCGCTATATTTTCCGCCTTAAAAGAGCAATATTGAAGCATAAACCGGTCTAATTGTTTTAAAAACATGCCTAAGCCACGACAAAGTATTCAAGGTAAATGTTTTTCGTCTTTGTTTTGTTTTTAACGAAATTTGGGATACGAAATTGGCGTCCCCAATTTTAACGAAATTTGGGATGCCTTTTTCACTGTTTAGTGCTTGAAATATTTGCTAAAATTGACTGGGAATACTTAGAGATTTCATCGTAGAATGGCGTAGTTATATTCATTTGTTCTTTGACTAAAATGTTTAGCTGTATTATTGTTAAACATGCCGTTTTTGAGAATTTGGTTTGCAACTAGGTTTCAACATCCAATCACGCCATCAGCCCATTGAAAACATTAGGTCACGTCAGCTAGTTTCCTATCCATTTATTTTATTATCCATGATCCCACATAGTGAGATCTTACTTTGAGATCTCACCCAGCCAGGCTGGCTCGTTTCACATATGAACACAAATTGGATTTTATGTTAACAAAGGCCATGCAGATTTCACTCAGGCCAGTTTCCCGGTTAGCTCATATGAACACGCCTTTAGACCTCTCTCCTCCGCAGAGGCTTTAGTTTTCTTAGGATTTAGTATTACGATGAGATACATTTCACTACACTTTACATGGCGGATCGTGTAACACGAGCGTAGCCGCTGGGCTCTGCGGAGGAGAGAGCCTTTAGACAGAATCGGGATAGTTCTTTCGGTTCTAATGAGTTTGAATCAACGAGTTTCAATGATGATCGAGTTCCGAACTTTTTTCCAACTTTTTTGTAGATTTTAAGTTTTCAACTCTAACTGTCTCTGTGGTCATGATCTGCTCTATTCTACTTTACAGCGTGAGTAATTTGTTTTTATATTTGAATTGGAAACGTTTTAGGGGGCCTACTAAACACGTAAAAACACACAAGTTGTTACAGGTCTGCAAAAAAGTTCTCACAATTCTGTTCACAAGCTGTCAACAAGTTGTGTTCGCGTTGTTGTAACAAGTTTGGAACAAGCTGTTAAAAACTTGTAACAAGCTTAATGGCATTACCAGACTTGCCGCGAAGTTGTTCTAACAAATCTGATACAGTCATGATATAACAAGAATGTTACAAGGTGTTGATTACACAAGGTTGTAACACTATTGTCGTATCATGACTGTATTGGACTTGTTGGAACAACCTTGCAATAAGTACTTGCAATAATATCATGATCAACAAGGTTGTTGACAATTTGAAACAAGCAGTGAGAAAACAACTTGCTGGCAGACTTGTTACAAGATGTGATATTTTTACGCGTGTACATGGAGAATTATTATATAGCAAGTGTCAAAGTTCAATTTTCCTGTTTGCCGATTGGTCAAAACCGTATCACGTACCGGTCCACAAAACGTCGTTTTAACTAGTTGAAACAGTTATTGACTAGTCAGTACTAAAGCCGGAAATGAGGCACAAACAATAACAAGTTAATTGAAACAAGTGATAACAAGTTGTTATCGTCCTGCAATTCAACAGCTTGTTTAACAAGTTGTGAGTGACAACCTTGTAGCAACTTGATAAAATAACAGCGTTGTCACGCTGGTCAAATTTGGCGAAATTTTTCCCGCTTGTGCGGGCTCGCATTGTTAGCGGACATCTTGGCCAGATCTGCACAAAATGCAAAACGTTCAATTTTTCACCTCGAGTCCGCTGGAAAATGCAAGCCTGCGCTACTGGAAGAATATGTGCTGAATATGACCAGCGTGTGTTACAACTTGTTGATAAACTTGCTGCAAGCCTTTTGCGAACACATCTTGTTGACAAGTTGTAAGATTTTTACGTGTGTATTAGGAAAATGAAAGGCAAACGCAGTGAACTTGGCTATAGTCTTTGTATTCGTAAAATCACAAATTTCAAGTAATCCATTTTTTAACTATCCATGTTGAAATTAAGCTAACCTCTACATGTCCAGAGTTTTATGACCACAATTCATGCATTAAGCACTCGATTGTAAACCCGGGTTTCATCTTTTTACAGTTTTAGTTGCTGGGGCAACAGCAACTGTAGGTTACGGCTCAAAATTTCACCCATTTCCGTCGTTCGCCATAAAATGAATTGCTCATTTAACGGATTACATAATTTTTTACCTCTCTCCTCCGCAGAGGCTTATATGAAGTTTCTAGTGAGGAAAAAGTGAGCGCGCAAGGAGTGATGGGAAGAGCTAAATAATTGAGCCTCTGCTAGTTAATGCAATCAACATGGCGTCGTATATAGTCTTTTGGCGTTCGGTTCGATCAACCATCGAGAGTGTTAAAACATGTTTTCGACTTTCATTTTCAGGCGTACTTGAGTATCCTGGGGTGAATTCAATATCAATATCTTCTTCTGTCCATTTGCATCGAAAAATATGGAGAAATTGCAAACGAATATCAATGTATACGAGCTATCTAATTATAAATATCCTCTTAATTGCAACATTTCTTTATAAAAATTACTCTATTCAACTTCGATACTCAGATTGTGAAGATTCATTTAAATTTCTTTCACATTTCGGTCGATTTCAAGTTTAAAAAAAGGTCAACCAGCTAGTTTGGTTCAAAAACCATACCTTGTCGCATTTAATATCTAGCAGAGCTTCCTCGACTTCATTTCAATCTTCCCATCAAACCGCGCGCGCTCACTTTTATTTTGGAAACTTCACGTAAGTTATTTGTAAATACTTAAGGAGGCTCTGCGGAGGAGAGAGATTTTTCACCAAAATTATTCAGTCATTGTCTTTTAAGACTTAAAAAAGTCATTTTAGTCTATCATGCGCTTCCCTTAGCTAGATCGAAATTATCAAGTGTAAATTTATATACATTATTAGACCTATAACCAGGAACAGCTGCGAAAAATGCAACTATACAGGTCCCTGACACAGGAATCGAATCTGCGCGGGCCGCAGGTTTGAAAGAAGAAACATTTAAACAAATGAACATCCTTATATCTGTTGCATAAAACCGAAAAAATACGACGTTTAAAACTGTCAAACTGTATAAACCTGACGTTTTTGAAAACTGTAACCAGCCACGTACGTTATACTTCCCAACGGAGTTAATTTTCAAAAGCATGTCTCACAAACAACTTTCTGTCTTTCTTTAACGTTAAAATGTTGAAAAAGCCATGCAATGAATTCTGACGGGTTTACTATTGAATTGGAAATAAAATCCGAAATAGGTGAGAATTACGACAATTCGTAAATTATAAATCGCTTTTTTACGCAAAACTAAAACGGATTGTGGGACGTAGCGACTGTAACTACGGAGTGTCGGAAGTGTGAGTTACATACTGTAGGCATGCCCATCATGCTTTTCGCGTTTAGAGGTTGAGGTTTTGACTTTGAAAGGGCAATCTTGATTGAATCCGCTGTTAATCGTTGAACTAGGTACTTAGTATACACTACTATTTCCTTTTAGATTTCCTTTGAACTTCTGTTTATCGGCAGTAAACTACTGGACCAATTCAAGAAAGAATCTGACCAATCAATACTCGCGGAAGCTATCTTCAAGTTGTTGGGTTAGTTTTGTTGGAAATACTTATTTTAAATTTCATTTAACACTTAGTATAGGGATCTTTAGCATGTATAGGACGCCGACGACGCAAATTCTTTTTCCGTAGACAGTCGGACTCCTCATTGATAGTCGGACGCATCATTGTTCTGCGTCGAGGCCTCCGCACGTTATCGATCGATCCCTTCGTACACTGCGTAATCCACTGGTACACCATATATCCATCACTCTACGTTGTTCTTCTTCGACCACGTGTAGTAAGATGGACGATTTGGATGCCATAGCAAATCTACAAACTTGTTTTTCCAGTCCCGAAATAAATTCCTTCAAATGAAAGACTTTAAGGGAAACATGTTATGTATTATCCATTGTATGGATTTAATGCGGTTTTAGGAGGTTAAGACGGGAGCTTTCTAGTTGAGGATATATAATATATAGATGAGCCGATTAATCGGAAAATAATACTATAAGCAAAGTGATTAATCGGCCATTATGAAGAAATCAGTCGTAAGAAAATTAACGTTAACTTTTATAATCATTGTTACGTCAAACTTGTGACATTGCGATGTTATCTTTAACATCCGAAGTTATTTGGTTATTTGGTTTGAAATTTTCTAAAGCTTAGTTGACTTTTGAACAAAAGTATTTTAGGAGTTTTTTCGCTGTTTTCCTTTAAACTACAGGTTAAACCTCGATGAATATACCTTATGGTTTATTCTGATTGATTTTACACAACTCTCAGTCCGTTGTTAACGAGGAAAAATGCGAATAAACGAATTTAAAGTAACCTAACGCATAGTCATCTATACGGGACTGGTGACTAGTAACATAACGATAATCAATTATGAAAACATGCATACCTCAGGGTTGTGGTTTAGGCCCATTGTTATTTCTAATTTACATCAATGATTTACCAAAATGTTTAAACGCCGGGGCAAAACATGCAGACATGTTTTCGGATGATACCCAAATTGCAACATCAAGTGAAGATATATATCAAAGTAATCATTTAACATTAAATAGAGATTTAAACAATGTTGCAAATTGGCTGTCCGCAAACAAATTAACTCTGAACAATAGTAAAACCGAATATATGATAATTGGTTCCAAGGAAAGACTTAGTCAAGTGACTGCCGATCCTGCTATGCAGTGTAGGTAACTTAGAAATTAAGAGAGTTGAAACGACAAAATCATTGGGCCTAATGATAGACGAGTCTCTAGACTGGACCGCGCAGGTCGAACACATTTCAAAAAAGGTCACCTCAGGCCTTGCTATTCTCAGACGACTCCGGGATACAGTCGAATTCAATACCTTAATAACAATATACCAATCCATAATTCAACCTTATTTCGATTATTGTGCTCAAGTGTGGGGTTGCTTCAAAAATTACAAAACAGAGCGTTTCGAATAATCACTCGTGAGAATTATACGACACGATCGGCTGATATATTAAACAAGCTATATATAGGAGTTCCGAACCTCGAAAAAAGAAGAATGCAACAACTTTCGATTCTCATGTACAAGGTGAAAAACAAATTGGTCCCCGATTACTTATGTGATATGTTCACAAATGTGGGTGATGTACACGACCATAACACAAGACAGTCGGGAGCCGATTTGACATTGCCTAAACCAAAAACAAATAGTATGAAAAATGCATTCTCCTGCAGAGGTGCGGAAGTCTGGAACTGCCTTTCTGCATCGCTAAAAGCATCGACAACTATTGCTAATTTTAAGTCTAATTTGAAGCATGCAAATTAACATCAAGTGATCCTGCCATTATAATAGTTTTATTTGTGGAAACACCACGTAAATTTATTACTGCAAAACTTTCGATCCGTAAGCCCTGATCTTCATCAGTGCTAATAATATGTTTATTATTATTATTACATATTATTAGCACTGATGAAGATCCGGGCTTACGGGTCGAAAGCTTTGCAGTAATAAATTTACGTGGTGTTTCCACAAACAAAACTATTATATATTTTATCGCCATGGAAACATACAAAGAACTTATTGATCCTGCCATTGTTTCCATCTACCTAAAATAATCTTCTTGTAAATAATATATTTCTTATTTCTGCTTGTTTGAGTACGGCCGGTTGGAAGATCACCTTTTTTCTTTTTATATTGTGTACATAATTAATTTTAGTAGAGGTGAAATTGTACCGTGTTAAAATATTGTTCATAATAATAATAATAATAATAATAATAATAATAATGGAAACTTTATTTAATTTTCTAAACTTACAACTGCAAATCTCACTATATAAGGTAATTTACAATTGGCAACTTGATATATTACTATTAAATGATTTTATAACGCACGATTAAATTTACTCTATTACTCTATATACATACTTATACAATAAAAATTTTAAAGTTTCATCAAGTCCGGATTCACCCAGTTCTTATTTCGACAACAAAAAATGTAGTAGGTTGACCTTATTGCAATATTAATAATCTTTTTAATAACGTATCTTACATGGCAATCACAACAGAAATCTGTATCGTGCATGACTTTTATTGTTTGAAAAAGAACAATTTAACTTTGAATTTAACTGTAAAATTTTGACATCAATTTGTTTTATTTTTTATATGTAGGTTTCGTGATGGCTGCGACCATTTTTACATTCATATTTTGTGTTGTCTCTTTTATTCGCTTCATGGAAAATCACAAGTATGTTTTGATTCATGTTTTGCTTGATATGCTGTCAAAACACACTTTCTTCGTCTTTTCCAAGAAATGTTTTCTTCGACTAACTTTAATTAACCGTTTATTCTTTCTCCAAAAAAAATTGAAGTGCCACTAAACGAGCTATACAAAGAGAGCATTAAGAGTTTTCAATTCTTCAATAATTATTAAGTGTTGTGGTTTCCTCTCCATAGGAACAACACGCTAAGAATGTTCAAAGGAGATAAATCATTCATTCCTAAGAATATCAATGCGGCACAGTTCATGATTGTAAGTTGAACAATATACGTATACAAATACAATCCTGTTTTGAGTTTGGAACGCGAGAACTAGTGTAGAAAGTTAAAATTGAAAAATTGTACCAACACGAGAGAGAGAGAACAACTGAAAATTAATGTGTATATATACAAAGTTTTATGCACAACTGGAGATTGTAGACTTGAGTCACTTGACATGTGACTTGATTTTTGTGACTTGACTTGTTACTCAGATTAACAATTTGTGACTTGAATAGACCTTTCCCCTTTTAAGTGAACTTTTGATCTAGACAAGTCTGGACAAAAATTTCATCACAGCTTGAAAGAGCATCACAAAATTAGTAATATTCCGAAGTTTCGTTGCGAAATGTTGTAAAGTGCGGATAATATAGCCTTGCAAAGTTTGCCGTTTTTCAGTCATTTTGCATTACAAACGGGAAATTGATAATCAGATGATCAAACTGATTATTAATTTACCATTTGTAATACAAAATGACTGAAAAACGACAAACTTCGCAAGGCTATATTATCCGCATTTTACAACATTTCGCAACGAAACTTCGAAATATTACTAATTTTGTGATGCTCTTTCAAGCCGTGGTGGAATTTTTGTCCAGGCTTGTCTAGATCAAAATTTCACTTAAAAGGGGAAAGGTCTATTGAACAAAATGACTTATGACTTGGCTTGTACTTGCAAGAAATGACTTGTTATCAAGAGTCAAACGTAAAGTCGTAAATATCTAGTGAAAATGAACTTTTCCACAACTTTTACTGGAAATTCATCGATGCACATTGACCAGTGCAGCTACATTGGCATATCGCATTATGACTGTGAGCTATAGTATTTGCTGCCGAGCGTAGCGAGGCAGCACACTATTCTTGACACGTGGTGGTTTCTCCAGAGTCCACTCGACCCAGTCTTTCGCGCGACCTATGTATAGTCGACATCTCGATCTTGTGTCCGTCTGTCTGTCTGTAAAGATGTCGTAATCCAGGGGGAATAATTAAAAGCTTCAGGAACGTTTGTTAAATGAGGGGAGCGGTCAAAACAAGATTTTGTATTGCGCACGCATCTCCATGTGCTCACTGCTCAAGATTTTTCAAGCTTTTAAATACGGATGCAAGTATCGGTCGAAAATATTCGGAAAAATTCAGGTAAGTATGGCTCTATTTCTTTCTTCTTATATACATCAAGGCGATGATCTTTTTAGTGTTCAATCTAGAGGCAAACAATGTGCTTTTATGAGTTTATCGGCACTTTTAACTGCCCAAAATATACCACTGATCGATTGGTCAAAAACAACATTGAATAATGTCTTATTACAAGGAGACAAAATGTACTTGCAAGCTCTGGATAATGGCTTTGTTGTCTTAGAACCTGGTGTCGAATTTATGTCTGTAGATAACTTACCTAAAGTTGTCAGTGTTTCAAGTTGTACAAACATGTTTTCTTACGAGATATGTGATTCTGTGGTCGACACATATATAAATGTGCCAGCTGTAGTGCATGCGAAAGCAACTACAACACATGTGAATCCTTTTGATGCACAAAATAACGACACTATAACTACAACACATGTGAATCCTTTTGATGCACAAAATAACGACACTATAAAGCCCATTGAGGCAAAAACTATTGATCTGCCCATTGTGGTGGAGCCCATTGAGGCAAAAACTATTGATCTGCCCATTGTGGTAGAGCCCATTGAGGCAAAAACTATTGATCCCCATTGAGGCAAAAACTATTGATCTGCCCATTGTGGTAGAGCCCATTGAGGCAAAAACTATTGATCTGCCCATTGAGCCCATTGAGGCAAAAACTATTGATCTGCCCATTGTGGTAGAGCCCGTTGAGGCAAAAACTATTGATCTGCCCATTGTGGTAGAGCCCATTGAGGCAAAAACTATTGATCTGCCCATTGTGGTAGAGCCCAGAGGCAAAAACTATTGATCTGCCCATTGTGGTAGAGCCCGTTGAGGCAAAAACTATTGATCTGCCCATTGAGGCAAAAACTATTGATCTGCCCATTGTGGTAGAGCCCGTTGAGGCAAAAACTATTGATCAGGCCCATTGAGGCAAAACATATTGATCTCGGTAGAGCCCGTTGAGGCAAAAACTATTGATCAGCCCATTGAGGCAAAACATATTGATCTGCCCATTGTGGTAGAGCCCATTGAGGCACAAAATAACATTCGACTGCCCATTGTGGTAAAGCCTGTTGAGGCAAAAAGTAACATTGATCTATCCATTGGGGTAGAGCACAATTCTGTGGTAACTAAAAACAAAAACCAAATTTGTTTTATAAATTATGGAAAAGAGCTTCAAGGTCTTGTCATAACCAACCGAAAAATTGCATCGCACTACTACGACATTCACACAGCACTTTTGAATGTGTTTTCAAATTATAGTTGTACTATTTTAATATTAGAAGGTTATATGATGGCCTTGATAAAGCAAACAGATTTTTTCTATTTATTTGACTCACATGCCAGAGACTCTAGTGGCATGCCTGATCCTAATGGCTGTTGTCATGAAATTTGCTAATATTCTAGAATCTGCTGTTGTCATGAAATTTGCTAATATTCTAGAATTAGAACAATATTTGTATTCTCTTTCAATGACATTGCATGCCAATTCATTTGAAATTGTACCTCTGCAATTAAATATTTAACATGTACGTAAAGCTTCAAAGCAAAAAAGTAAGTGTGTAAAAGATCGAGAGTATGTTCAGAAAAAGAGGCTTTCAGTAGAAACTGAAAGTGATAAACAAGCTAGACTTAAGAAAGCTAGTGAGTACAAAAAAACAAAGCAGTCAGAGGAAACTGACAGTGAGCAACAAATAAGACTTCAAAAATTAAGTGAGTCTATTAAACAGAAACGCTCAGTCGAAACTGACAGTGAACGACAAATTAGACTTGAAAAAGATAGTGAGTCTAAAAAAAGAAAGCGGTCAGAGGAAACTGACACCAACAGACAAATGAGGCTTCAAAAGGATAGTGAGTCTAAAAAAAGAAAGCGCTCAGAAGAAACTGACAGTGAACAACAAGTTAGACTTAAAAAAGATAGTGAGTCTAAAAAACGAAAGCGATCAGACGAAACTGACACCAACAGAAAAATGAGGCTTGAGAAAGAAAGACTTAATAAAAAACAAAAGCGGGCAAGAAAAGTGTCACAACCTCAACATGAAATAAATCAACTGGATTATTTAAATATGTTTGACAACACCAATAATGGTGGTATTGAAGAGCAATGTTGGGCTAAGGCTAACATTAATAAGTTTAATAAGTCTGTGCAATACATTGTCAGTCAGTGTACAGAATGTCAGGAGGCATGGCCCTTGAAGTCTAAACCAAGGACACCTTACATATGTTCCCGATGCTCCAGAGATAAAAAATCTCCTAAAAAGTTCTCTAATGAAAACTCAATGATACCTTCATCTGTTCCACATGAATTGCAGAATTTAACTCAGATTGAGGAAATGTTAATTGCTCGTGCTTTGCCTATCATGAGAGTTTATATTAAACCTGGTGGTCAACGAGGTTATTCGGGGCATTGTATTAACCTGCCACAAAATGTCAAAGAACTTGCAATATCTTTGCCAAGATATCCTAAAGACTTAGCTATTATTATTGTCAAGGCTAAAGGTGGAGAAAACACATTCAGAGATGTGACAGTGCGAAAGCAAAAAGTGCACAATGCTTTAGTTTGGCTAATCAATAATAATCCTCATTATTCTGAGTTATTAATTAATGAAGATGCATTAAATTCCTTACCTGAAAATGGTGTACCACCAGGTCTTATGACTGTTGAGACTGATGATGATATAGTCTCAGATGACAATTGTTCTCCTGATGTAGGTCCTCCTACTGATAATCCATCAGAGGATATTGTTTATAATGACTCTACTGAAATGTGCAGTTTTTTACCTGTTGGCGAACAACAACAACAGGAAATTGAAGCTGTTAGAAATCAGCTGTCTGAAAATGAGTCAATACCGTGGCCCTCAGTTGAAAATGAGCCATTAAATGAGTATCAGATATCACATCTGGCAACAATGGCTTTCCCAACATTATTTCCAGATGGGAAAGGTGATCCCACTAATCAAGGACTTCTGAGAGATGTCCCTCTTCAGGAACGAATAAAGCATCTTCTAAAATTTGCTGAAATTATTGATGGTAAATGGGTATACCGTTTTGCTAACCACCCCAGATTTTCATATTGGGCTTTTAATATGATTCAAAGAAAACGAATTTTACAACAAAGTGGAATATTCCTCAAACAGAACCCAGGTGAAGCTCATCTCACAATTGAAGAACTGCGTGAAATGGCTGCCAGTAACAATGCTAATGTATTTATGTCTAAAGTGTCCAGATATGTTGGCAATATTGCAGGTACTAATGCTTACTGGAATAGAGTAAGAGAGGAACTCAAAGCTATCATAACTAGTGTTGGAGCACCAACATTATTTTTCACTTTCTCATCTGTAGATATGCATTGGCCTGAGTTACACACTTTATTTAATGCTGATACTGACAATGAGTTAGGTAACTCTACCAGTGAGGTAAGACGACAAAATGTGATCAACAATCCCCATGTTGTAGATTGGTTTTTCACACAAAGATTAGAAAGCTTTGTCAACCACTGGCTTTATGATACACTCGGTGCAAAATGGCACTGGTTTCGATATGAATATGCACTCGGTGCAAAATGGCACTGGTTTCGATATGAATATCAAGGTAGAGGTAGTATCCACTGTCATGGTACTGCTAAACTAAATAATGACCCAGGTTTGTGTCAACTTACTCAGACTGCTTTGAAAGGTTTCTTAGCTCAAAAATTTAAAGATGAAAACGATTGTTCCAACACAACTGAACTAGACCAGGATATTGAAGCTGGTCAGAAAGCAGCTGACACAGTATGTCAGTATGTTGATTGGTTATTATCAACCGTCAATCCTAATCCACCAGATGAGGACATGTGGATAAGACCTGAGGTTCATCCATGTCAAAGAAGTCATCATGACATTCCTGAACATGAAAAACAATCAGATTATGTAGATCTGTTAAACATGGTTCAACGACACACTCGTTGTAGTACAAGTTATTGTCTTAGAAAGAAGTCAAATGAAACAGACTTGAAATGTAGATTTCATTTTCCTTTTGATATTTGTCCTAAGACAAAATTAGAATTTGAAAAAGTTCACACTTCAGGTGATAATGAGCATTATCGAGCTAAGATTGTGACTAAACGAAATGACTCTAGATTAAATAACCATCAACAACTTCAGCTCCAAGGATGGAGAGCTAACTGTGATATTCAAGTTGTTATTGATCACTATGCTTGTGTTGAATATCTCACAAAATATGCAGCTAAAGGTGAGCCAAGATCACCTATATTGAAACAGGCATTCAATTCTATTGTGCAAAATGTTGACAGTAATACTGACCCTCGTAGAGTTATTAAGAAGGTAGTTATGAAATCTCTTGGTGAAAGAGATTATGCAGCTCAAGAGACAATGCATCATTTGTTGTCTTTAAAACTCCACAGCTCGTCCTTTAAAGTGATGCCAGTTAGTCTAAATGGTTCACGTAGAGTGCGTGATACTGCAAGTATTGATGAGGGTGAGTCATGCACCGATTATTCACTTCTTGATGTGTACGCTAATCGTGAACAATATGACAGTTCACAAAATATAATAAATATGAACTTTGTTCAATTTGCTACAACATACAAAGTTGTTAACAATGAACTGACAAAATTGCCGGAGAATATTATACCACGAATATTTCCAACATATTCTCCTAATCCCAAAGGTCCAAATTTTGGCCTATATTGTAAATACCAACTTTTGAGGTATAAACCGTGGAGAACAACCCAAAATAATGCATGGGGTGACCAAGAACCAACTGACGAGGTTCTGATCAATTGTTGGCATGAATTTTTACAAACACCTTATGGGCAGTCTAATGTCCCAGACTGGTTTGATAAATTACAAGCTGTCATTCAAAGTCAAGAAGCAGAAGATGAACCTTCTGAAGAACAGGAGACAACTCGAGAAGAGTGGATGATATTATCAGACCTCAACACTCCTTTTGACAACTCTGAACAAACACCAGAGTCCACATATGACTGGCATCTTGACAGAGCCAATTATTCAGAACAACAAATCCAAGAAATGCCAACATGGATAAAAACAAACAAAGACGAATACACTATTGATGAGCAATATGATGTTGTTGACATCAACAGTTTTAGTGAAATGCAAAAACTTGCTTATAATATTGTTAAGTCTCATTTTGATGATACATCATCCGAGAAAGAGCCATTATGTCTCATTATAAATGGTGTTGCAGGAACTGGTAAAAGTTACCTTATTAATGCTATTAGAAATCTTTTGCAAAGTAAATGTGCCGTTGCTGCTACCACAGGTAAAGCAGCTTTTAACATTAGAGGTGTAACTGTGCATTCTCTATTAAAATTACCTATAGGATCAAGAGGTAATAAAGACCTGACAGGACAAAGCTTGTGTAGGTTACAAGAGAGTGTTGATAACATTGGATACATCATTATTGATGAATACTCCATGCTTGGCCAAGTTACTTTTGGTTGGATAGACAAGCGTTGTAAACAAGCAACTGGTTCTAATGACAAAGTATTTGGAGGGAAATCGTTGATTTTAACTGGTGATCCAGGTCAATTGCCACCAGTAGCAGATAAACCTCTTTACCATGCTAGACCATCAAACGCTGTTGGTGAACAAGGTCATCAAGCATATCATATGTTTGACAAAGTTGTTAAACTCACTGTAAATCAACGTGTGCAAGGTATGACATCTCAGCAAGTACAGTTCAGAGATTTGTTATTACGACTTCGCAAAGGCAACTCAACAGTTGATGACTAGAAGTTACTTCTGACACGTCAGCCATCAAATGTCACTAATTTATGTGATTTTGAAGATTCTACTAGACTCTTTTATAGTAATGAACAAGTTGGTAATTACAACCATGAGCAGCTGACAAAACTTGAGCATCCAATTGCTCATATTAATGCTCGCCATTCATCAGCATTGGCCAAAAAGATATCCTCAGATGATATGTCTGGGTTAGAAACTGTTGTGTTTCTAGCAAAAGGTGCTAGGGTCATGTTAACCATGAATTTGTGGTCAAGTGTTGGCCTCTGCAATGGGGCTACTGGAACAGCTGTTGATATTATCTATCAGAACAACCATCAACCACCTGACTTACCTATTGCGGTAATAGTAGAATTTGAAAACTATAGAGGACCTGTTTTTAATGAAAACCAACCATTGTGTATCCCAATATATCCAATCACTGTCACATCACAGCCAGAAATAGGTTTCCATGAGTGACAACAGTTACCTCTTAGGGCTCTAACAATACACAAGAGCTCTAACAATACACAAGAGCCAAGGACTTACACTTCCAAAAGCATGGATAGATATTGGCAAATCTGAAAAAACTGCTGGAGTTTCTTATGTTGCTATTAGCAGAGTGAAATCACTTGTATATTGTGTCATTGAACCAATGACGTATGAACGATTAACAAGCTTGAAGTCATCAGCTAACTTACAATATAGGCTTGAAGAAGAAAACAGGCTAGATCAGTTAGCACGGGCTACCAGCAGTGCATTTAGAACAACAAACTATTGAGTTTGAATAAGAGAGGGATTTCGTATATGGATCCCAGTTATAGTTGGGTATGTACTTTGACTATATACCCTTTTAAATAATTTAATTTATTATATAATAACTAATTTACTCCTTGTTATCACTGATGTATGAAAATATTATGATTTGCAAGACAGAAGAAGGGTAAGTTTTTTTTGTTTGTTTAACCCCTCCCCCTGCCCTACTTTTATTTTCACTCAGTTATGTGCCAGTATGTTTCCACATAAATATCTCATGCTACCAATTATTTTTTTCTATAGTTTTGCAAATCGGACGGATGTGAATGGTGCCATTTTAACTGCTGGATGAAACCAAATCGTTGTTACAGCCAAAATATAATATGGATATATTACTGTTCATCTCATGAAAATGGAAATACACTGAAAATACATTTCTGTTAAAACAAGAATGCTGATTTGCAAGATTGGATATATTACAATGCATCTAATGCAATGGAATATGGAATCTGCCATGTATTATTAAATAACTGTACTTGTTTCCAATCTACCATATGAATGTCAGGAACATTGTATCTCTACTGTGTCAGTATATTATACATACCTTTATATGTATAGTAACCTAACAAGTTATTGGACAATATCATGGCCAACAATGGACACTACCTGTACGTGCTAAATAAATACGAAACATCTGCATATTGGACAAAAAAAATTAATGGCACTGTCTTGTTTACCAATTGGAAAATACAGTAGACTATTATTACTTGGAAAGAATGTGAAAAATTGCAACAAACTAATCATATCACGTTAAAAGACAGTATGTTTGTTCTTTCCAATTGTGTTCTTCTAGACGTTTTGACAAGTGAAGACGGTTTAAAACAATGGTACCAACAATCACATGTGTAAATAAGAAAATCCGAAGTACAGTTTACAGCATATAATAATTATTGCATTATTAAACAAAATAAATTCATACATACAGTGTATTTATAGTATAAGGCAATTTAAATAAAAAAAGTTTTTTGGTATAATCAATCCCCAAGACTTTGGGTCGTAAGGCAGCACTTCCCTTGCGATAGTAACTCCTAGTATTAGTCTAGGACCTGTATATGAGTTTGTATGCGATTCATTTAGGACAGGTAATCTCAACTGTTTTAGGGTAAAATGACCATGGCGGTCAACATGGCATAGGTGCGAAAACCTGAATCCGGGACGAAAGTCCTGAAAATGACCCAGCCCTGAAACGGCTCTGTCGACATAGCTCTAACTTCCAAAAAGGAAAAGCGATAGCCTTTCTGAAGTGCTTATAGTGTTTAGAAGGTTTGCTTTTAGGGGTGGTCATTGAAGGAAAAATTTGTCTAAGTATAATATTTTACCAGAAAATGACTATGCACCACCCCAGGTAAATTGCTGATTATGCACAAAATAACTAATATGCCTGGCAGAAATTTAATATTCTTATTTCGTAAAAAAAATTATTATGGGGTGAAAAACTATGCTTAATTTAATATAAATATTGTTGATTCCATAAGGATTGTCATTGTTTTCTTTAAATATAATGCATTTTATTTCACTTACCCCCAACGAAAACACGATTTCAGCCATATTTTGTTCTTCCTTGTAGAACAGTACCAATCCAAAAATTGAAAATATTATTGGTACTTGGGAAGAAAAAACCTCCCATAATAGTTGTCCTGTTTGAATTCAAAAGAAATAATTTAAAAGTCACGCGCAAGTTCGCGAAAACACCTCGTGTACTACATGACAGGGGGGTGAATATTTTCACGAAACGTTTGTTCGCCACCACAGCAACCTAACTAAATGTATTATATTTTTTGTATTTTTATAATTGATACGCAAATATTTATTGTTTTTATCATAAATCACAAATATACAATAAATATAATGTACTTAGTTAGGTTGCTGTGGCCTGTGGTGGCGAACAAACGTTTCGTGAAAATATTCACTCCCCCCTGTTATGTAACCCACGAGGTGTTTTCGCGAACTTGTGCGTGACTTTTAAATTATTTCTTTTGAATTCAAACAGGACAACTATTATGGGAGGTTTTTTCCTCCCAAGTACCAATAATATTTTCAATATTTGGATTGGTACTATTCTACAAGGAAGTACTATTTTCAATTTTTGGATTGGTCCTATTCTACAAGGAAGTACTCTTGGATAATGTAATCTAAATACATATAAAAACGAAGAAGGCCAATTTATCGGGCAGAGAAGCGGCGAGCCATTAAAATGGCTGCAATTTCACGAAATATCGAAGGACACAATATCGAAGATAAAATACACTGCACTGTTACAAAAGTGGATGAAACCTTCTTTGAAATCTTCTTCAGCCATTTATAATTATGTAAAAGTACAATAACTTGATGATATTTGCGAGATTCGGCGATAAAAAGCAAACAAGACGGCAAAATATGGCTGAAATCGTGTTTTCGTGGGGGTAAGTGAAATAAAATGTATTATATTTAAAGAAAACAATGACAATCCTTATGAAATCAACAATATTTATATTAAATAAAGCATATAGTTTTTCACCCCATAATAATTTTTTTTAGGAAATAAGAATATTAAATTTCTGCCAGGCATATTAGTTATTTTGTGCATAATCAGCAATTTACCTGTGGTGGTGCATAGCATTTTCTGGTAAAATATTATACTTAGACAAATTTTTCCTTCAATGACCACCCCTAAAAGCAACCCTTCTAAACACTATAAGCACTTCAGAAAGGCTATCGCTTTTCCTTTTTGGAAGTTAGAGCTATGTCGACACTGCCGTTTCAGGGCGGGGTCATTTTTAGGACTTTCGTCCCCGATTCAGGTTTTCGCACATATGCCATGTTGACCGCCATGGTCTTTTACCTTAAAACAGTTGAGATTACCTGTCCTAAATGAATCGCATACAAACTCATATACATGCAGGTCCTAGACTATATCACATTCTCAACATTCCATCTTATAAAAGTCGGCACAGGTAGGGGCAGCGCTAAAAGGGGGTTGTGGGTGTGGAACATCCCCAATCCTCAGTTTGTCGGAAAATAAGCTAATCCCAGTTGGACAGGAAGGAAAGAAACTAAAAAAATAGGAAGGAAAGAAACTAAAAACTTGAAACTAAATATTTTACAACATTTTATGTTAACACATTAATACATTTTACCAAATATATATATATATATATATATATATATATATATATATATATATATATATATATATATATATATATATATATATATATATATTATATTTACTGAGAAATTTACCTATGGGAAATTGTTTTACGCACTGGAAGTTCTTTTAGCTTAGTCATGCATGAGCAAGCAAATATTTTAATTTATTAGCCTACGTTACCACAAGTGCGTAACGGACGGGAACGCTTACCGCAAGAAGATTGTAAAAATCTTCCCAAGAATTAACACTGCATGTTCAAACGTTCCTATCCGAACATGATATAAGGGAGAGCACAACTCTAATGCATTATTCATAAGGCCTGAGCGCCTTACCCGAATATCACTTTGGAAAGTTATGTTATAAAGAAGATTGTTAAGGAAGAATTGTTGCAAGTTAGGCCTGTTTTATACGTCGAATTTCGGTCGCGTCGAATGCAATTCAAACAATAGATAATGAAGCTTAATGAGGTTTATCATCTCATTATCTATTGTCTTAATTGCGTTCGACGCGACCAAAATTCGACGTATAAAACAGGCCTCATACAAGTTATATACGAAAGAGTTATTGAAGCTAAAAGGGGAAGTTACGCGAAGAAGACGAAGACGAAAGAGTTGAGACAGAAAAAAGATAAGTTGAACTGATATATAGTTATAATTATATGGTAATTGGATATAAAGCAAGTTAAAGAAATAAGCACGGCAGTTGTACAAACGTAACTGACTCAAAATGAATCTTTGTTGCGAGAGAAATTGAACCAAAACGCGGGAAATTTTAATATTAAGGGCCACGCTCGTGACAGAGACTGAGATGAAAAATACGATGTTAAGGGAAACGATGTAAAGTGTGAAAAAAGTACCCGCTATAGAAATTTATCCTATTGTTGTTAAGCACAGGATTTTATGCGACTGGTAATTAAAAATTCAATTCAATTGTGTTTACGCACTCTTGTGTTCGGCATAGTGCTCAGGCATTCAACTTATAACAGTAGGATAATTTCTATAGAGGGTACTTTTTGGGGGACACCTTGTATATAGAGATAGAGGCAAAAATTACAAGAATACATTACACACTTAAAACACGCACAAGTTGTTACAAATCTGCAAAGAAGTTGTTACAAATCTGTTCACAAGCTGTCGACTAGTTGTTATAACAAGTCTGGAACAACCAAACAAGCTGTTAGCAACTTCTAACAAGCTTAGTTGATGGTATTATCAGACTTGTTATAAGGTTGTTCTATTTAACAACAAGACGCCGACTCGGCGTTAACCTCGGGTCAGTGGATAGGGGGATCGCCTGGTAAATATCCAAAAATTGTGTAAATCACGATAGTTTAATAGTTTACTAGTATAAATGGTGAATCAGTTAATCAAAGCCCCGTTTTAATATTTTATTGATAATAATTACTGGCCCTCATCAAACCTATTGTTTTCTCTCTGCATTATATCAGCGAATGTCGAGAAGTTTTCATTTAACGTTCTACTGAAAAACGGGAGCGGCCTTTTTGGTTGTATAGGGAAATTCCGGCTCAGGGGTAAATGTTTATACGCGTCATATTCTATGTACGCGTTAAAATAGCACACAACATTATTAAAAATAATGCAGCGTGCATCAGTGCACGCAGACATTATTAGCAATAATGCATCTTCGTCACCCTGACATGTACACGCGATAACGTGAACATCCCAAGATGAGAAGGTGACAGTGCTAAAGGCCCCCCATACGGTGTCGTCGGGTGCCTGAAGCACTGTTGGAAACGGTCGCTGTGAGTCTTTTCAGTTCAATTTTATAGAGAAATAGTTTCGTTTGCGCTTGTGGGATTTTATCCTAGATATACGCATGTGCAGAATACACCATAAGTTCTATTCCCGTGTTTATCCAATACGCTATTTGAGTAAACCTTATCATTAATGATAATATGTAAACTAGAACACTATAATTGACCTCCGCTTGTGGAGATTTTAATTTAGGGCGATTAATTAAACTGAAATCTGCTCTATCACAATGCACTACAGTGCCTATATGGTTATGTCTATATGCATGTGCTCACAAATGTCTAGTGTAACGTTGGATAGGTTCATTATCATACGGTCCCGACAAGCAGCAACGTACAGTAGTCTTCCAGCCGAAAATAATTACTTTTGATTCGGGTCAGTAATTATAATAGATAACAAGTGAAAGTTGGCCGCGGTATTCCCATGCTATGCATACGAAGTATTGTGCATTATATCAACATATACCCGAGAATAGTTATCCAGCTAAACATGTATGTCAAAATTATCACGTCTTCTGGTTTATCAAATTATCACATCTTCGGATTTTGTGCAAGGACAGCTTCGGGTTGCGTTTCGCTTTGGCCGATGCTTGAAATTTTCCGGAAGAACACTTATTTACCTGAAGTTGTCGTCTCCTCCGCAGGCTCTTCGACTACGCGCGCGGCTCGACACAAATGGGAAAAAAAATAGGAGCCGAATTTATGACCTCGGTGTCGTACCGACCCGAGGTAATTAGTCGCCGAAGGCGAGGTGATTACAAGCCTATATTCACTGAGCCGAAGGCGAAATGAATATAGACTTGTAATCACCAAGCCCGAGGCGACTAATTGTTTTAGTATAAATTTCCAGGTGTTTACAAACAATAATCCACACAACTTTATAAAAATTCACTTCAAATAAATTTATTTTCACTATAAATAGTTTGTTTACAAAATTTAAATCTCAGACACGGCTCTGTGTCGCGTTGCGACTAAGCCAGATTTTTTTTCCAAATAAAAGCGCGTAAAGTTTAATATTTTACATTGAAATATTTTTAAACCATATTTTGCAGCTTGTTTGTTTTTTTTCGGAATGCTATCTTCTTTAATTTTTGCAATTTCCTCTTCTGTTACTACGGTAAAACGAGCAGCCATTTTGAAAAAAAAGCTATAGTCACTGACCAGTGACTATCACTTCAGAGACAGTGAATCTTGACCAATCAGAACGCAGAAAAATCAATAGTCACCTGGAAATTTATGCTAAAAACAATTAGATAGTCTCATACAGTGTGCAGTTGGGCGCGTTTTCAGTGGCAAGAATACATTAGTTGGGCGAAATCGAAACGTCTTTTATTCAAAATTACAATTTTTATTTTGGGAACCAGAAACGATATACTATTTTTACATTATGGACCAAACATACATTTTTATAAATTAAATTTACATTGTGAATGAGAGACTAAAGTTTAACAGTAATGTTCAGCTATTGTTATTGTTCAATTATTATCGTCTCTGTCTCTTTTCTTTGATACATAAAAAGACGGGGAAGATATTGAGACAAAAACACAGCACTAGAAAAGCAACATTTACCTAAAAATAAAAAAAAATTAAATTATATTAATTTTTATTTGTTTATCATATAATTCGAATTATTCTTATACAGAAAATGTATCAATAGGTGATCAGAAAAAAGTTCATCTCGGCGTTCCTGGGCAGGGTGCTTGTATGGTTAATATTTCTACTCGGTTCTGATTGGCTAAAGATCCCATTTTTACGACGGTTATTTCTATCAGTTATATATCCGAAGCGAGGAAGATTCGGCGAAATATTAGCCCGAAGTGATGATAATAATTACAGCTAAGTTTGTGTCACGCATAGCCTATCGAAATGAAGATGTCGGTGAAACTTATTAGAATGCATCCTTTCGATAATTATGTGACACATTCTTTTTGGTCCTGGAGCCTGGCTCTCATTAGAAAATTACTCAAGGCGATTGGCTCACGAATAATGAGCGCGAGGCTTTCAGGCAAATAACGTAATTATCGAAAGGGTGTATAACAATATAACTCCTCTATGTTAGTCAACGTTTTTATAAACATTGTCCTTCACCGTCACGTGTGTACTGTATTTTTGCCAAATCCACCAACAGCAATTTCCCTATTAATTATTACAATAGCAATATATAATTTCCAGTTTACCCTTGTTCGAGTCACGGATAGGTAACTTTCCTGAAACATTGCTATTGGCTAGTTGGGCAAAAATACAACACACACGTGACGGTTAAGAACCAGATTTATGAATAAACGTTGCCTAGCATAGGTAATGAGTTATATTGATATTCTAATGAGTTTCACAGTCATCTTCCCTTTGATTAGCCTGCGAACCCAGACGTCATTTCCCACTCTCATTCTTTACTCATTCTTTATTCCTTTCCGAGCAAAAATGTGAACGTGGGAAATGACGACTCGGTTCGCATGCTACCGTTCGATACGCTATGTGCAATATGTGAGCATGAAAATTATCATCGAATTACTCCTTACGTCATCGTATTTGACGAAGCAGGTGATTTCAGTCATATCACCCGGCCTGACCCGGTGACATGATTCGAGTAAACCACGCGCAGCAATCACGAAAAGAAGATGGCCTACAAAATATACTGAGGATGAATTATTAATTTTTTGAACTTCAGAAAAGCTTGTTTTTCATTGAATATTTTTAATTAGTATAACTTTTGCATATCAAATGAGTTTTCGCGCGTTCTGATTGGCTAACTGAATAGTAATTCTGAGGCATTATTTACTACCTGGGTAGTAAATAATGCTTTTCAAAAAGAGTGATTCGTCAAATTTGGTTTCAAAATCGACAAAATATTGAAAATAATCGGCCCCAGAAAACGAAAGAAGCACAAAATGTTGTATTTAACTTGAAAGGTAGGATTCCTTTATTCAGTTAACTGTGTCAAACATATTCATGCACGGACAATTTAACAACTTATTAAAACTCAGAAACATTCACTTCAAACAAATAGCAAAAACCATCCCGACTTTTGGGAAAAACTTTGCCGTAATATTCTTTAAAATCCATTTTATTTTGTAAGCTATAGATTTCCCAATTTGTACGATACTATTTCTTTTGATATGTCATGTTTTCATTGTGCTCTATGGTGTTCTGACCGCTGTATAGTGTTTTCGAAACTTGTAAAGTGAAAAGTGTTATTAAAACTTTATTTCGAACGATATAGTTTTACATTTCGTTTTACCAAATTCCTCAACCACTTCCCGAAGAAATTAATGCTAAACAGAAACTATTGCAGTAATTCTAAGTCTGGTGAAAGAGTCATTCCATTACTGTGTTTGTATTCCAAGCAGAAATCGAGAAAAAGAACTTTGTAATAAAGCAATAAAATCACACAAAAAGCCATTTTGAAAGCGTGTGCGTACAAGATACACTGCAAAACTATTAGTAAACAGGTCGAAAACAGTTTTATTTCTGAAATTTAATTGAACTGATATTTGGATACTTTGTTTTATTCATTAAAAATTTATACTAAAACAATTATTCGCCTAAGGCTCAGTGATTACGGTGAATATTCACCTCGGCTTCGTCTCGGTGAATATTCACCGGTAATCACTTCGCCTTCGGCGAATAATTGTTAATTATTTGAGGGATAATATTTATTATTTACAGACCCTCCGCTCGGAGGATTCGGCGAAGTATTACCCCGAAGTGATTATATTATTTTAGTATATTTGCACAAGTGATTATGTAACAAATCGTACA